TATTATACTAAAGCAATAGAGCTCAGAACAAACCACTGGTATAATAATAATAATAATAATAATAATCGAGGGACTTTACCATCCCGCATGTCCAGAGTCTCGTGAAAACCGAAACCGAGAAACGTCGTAAGTATCTCAATCTGGCGCACGTGATCACCGATATTTGGAATATGGCCTCCTTTAGAATTATTTCAATCCCAATTGTTTAGTCCGCAAACGAGTTAATGCCAGTCAGCCTCGCTAGCAGCTCAAGGCGGTTGGATTTCTGTGGCATGTCGCTTCCAGCACTAACGCAGAAAGCGATCCTGCTGGATACGGCACGTATTGTCGGTTCTTGAACCTGAGTCCCTGACACCGGTAGACTGTGCCATGGCCGAGGAACACCGCCTCTTCCATTTAAAAAATTCAAAATTTTCAGGGACTATCAAATCTGTTCGCGGGCGTTACCAATATGCTGTTCTAGAGGCCAACCGCGCTAAATGTCAACGACCAAAGCTAGACCAAATACGAAACGTTGCCAACGTTCCGTACATTTGCCATCGCCCTAAATATCTAAGGAAAAACCAAATGTAAAACGTTACAGATTGCTATCGTGCTAAATATTTTAACGTTTTAACCATACTCCACCCACACGATCAAGAAAAGAAGCGGCCTTCTTTCGCATTATAGCTTCGTGCGCGCCTCCGCGAACTTTCCTACAGTATTTATATAAACACTCTGTATTTCTTCGTAATTAGTTTACGAGCACTTAAATATAATTTAAACTTAAAATGTCTGTAAGAAATATTCCGCAACATTCCTTCCAATTTTCAATAATTTTACAAAATTTACGACTCGTGAAATTCGTTTAATTTTGAACAGTTTAAATTTTAACTTCGTATCAACATTGTACCGTAAAAAACATTGTTAAACGTTTAACTCGACGCTGTTTAAATTTTAACTTTTAACGAAAACAATGTTAATTGTTCCTTGTTGTTAAAGGACGGCGCAAATCGTTAAATGTGTATACTGTCAAAGTTACTATAATTATTTTTACTACTATAAACTACTGATCGAATATAACTATGGAAATTCAGTGTGATCTTAATGGTCAAGTCACACTGAAAGAGCAGCGGCCGGAGGAACATTTTTAGTGCAAAGTATTACTTAGCATTTTGAATCTTATCTTCTAAAAAAAGTTCAAATTGATGTAAAGTGTCAGAATGTACAGTGCGACAACGCGAGTAGTCGCGAGGCCGCGCGAGACTTGTAGAGACTAGTTCAAAGAGGTCACTGTGCTAGCTAGTAGCAGAAGAGCTCCTTGTGAAAGAGCTTGGCATCCTTTCCAAGGTGAGGCGATACTTCACACCGGGACAGTTGCTGTACCAAGCACAAGTCCGGTCGTGTATGGAGTACTGCTGCCACTTATGGGATGGCTCTGGTAAATACCAACTGGCCACCTTGGATTCAATAGACAAGCGTGCTAAGAGGCTTATAGGTGACTCGGAATTAGTAGAGGCGAAGCTGCAGAGCCTTGAACACCGCCGTAGAGTTGCCAGCTTATCGGTATTCTACACGATATATCACGGAGAGTGTGCGATGGAATTGCATAATTTGATTCCGCCTTCCCCTTTCCATCATCGGGAGACTGGACGTGAGTGGGGGTTCCACCCCTATGTTGTGGATATTCCCCGGATTCGCATGAAGCGTTACGGTTCCACATTTATGTGGCGAACGGCTATGGAGTGGAATTCCCTGCCTACAGACTTGTTCCCTAAACGTCATAACTTGGACCTTTTCAAGGCGAGATTGAATAGGTATTATTTAGGAATGCATGCTCCATCGTCGACCTCATTGTCACTTTCCATCAGGTGAGATGGAGGTTAAACGCGCGTTAAATACAAGTATATTTAATAAAAAAAAGGGTTATTTTCGTATTTATTCATATTCGCCATAAGTTAAAACTCGTTGCCTACGCGTAAAAAATACGTCGTGTGCATAAGCTCATACACAAAAGAGTGGTTCGTTTTTGTCGTACAAATCAATTCACAATAGCCACTATTTTAAGGTAACATTTAGTAAAATCAATTAAGGGCACTCTACTCAATCAAATTACTTTTCTAAAATGGAACATTTCTTGCCATCTACCGCCTGTCAATGCATTTAATTAATATAACTATGTACTACTAGCAAAGAATAAAAGCTTATGTTAGTCCATGGCACTTAAGCTAAATAAACTATGGTTCAATTGGATACTGTTAAGCAATAACGTGTCAACCAACATGATCATAGCTTTGCGAAAATGGCTCCTAAATAATACTTTTGCTGTTGTCACCTCAAAAATGATGAATTGTTGCGATTTATTTTGTTACTATAATCCCTCAACAACTAATAATAATATCCATTCTATGGCTTTTCAATACAATGCTCCTGAACTCGGAGGGACCCTACAGTCGCCCTGAGACATAAAGTTGACAAGTCCCTTATGTTTGTAATTGCACGTGCATTCTTACCCATCAAAACCGAAACACAGTAATGCTCACATTACTGCTTGACGGTAGAAATAGGTAAGGTGTGAGTGTATGTATTTGATGTGAAAACACTTGACAGTTTGAGTAAACAACAAAAAAACCATTTTTGCAGCACCTTAAAAGCCTTACAAGGTTTGACACGCTTTTAACCCTGTACCCAGTACACAGGATCGTTGTTTTTTTTTTAGGATTTACTACTACTACTTTTTATTTTATTTACTACTAACACTGCACAAGAAATTTCTAGAAGCAGTTGGCTATTAAACGGATGTAGATAACATACCTACCTAAAACCAAACAATGTACAAAAGCACGGGAAACAGGTGCAGCGTTGGTGATTTATGTACCTAAAACAAACTGAAACTCATATATCATTGTGATGAGCCGGTAGATAGACTGTATTGGACTTTCTAGGAACGATATAGAGTATGTAATTTGCTTAAATCCAAGTTTCCGCAGGGAGTCTTAAAAAGCGATCAAAGAACAAATCAATCACCTTTAATACACATATATATAATACACATTGTTACCCGTTGATGGGTCGAAATAATGCGGCAACAGCGGCTAATTTTAACGCGCCCTAAAGGTAGATGATTAGTGACTGCATCGCGTTTGCATCGCGACTAAAAATCGCCGTATGTAAACCGTTCATAGAAGTGCGAAATGTTGCTATTATCTATAGGAGTATAGCAGTGTATCGCGCTTTATGAGGCCCTCGCACAATTTGTGCCCTGTCCTGCTAGCCCTGCTGATAGGGTTAATTATGCAAAGTCTCGATATCCTGAAATAATATATCTGTAGTTATAATTTAAGTAAGGTTATGGAAAAATAACAGAGGCCGTCAGTTCTCCACAATCGCTGAGTAATGTACCGTTACGTCTTGCTAATTATCAATTCTGTAGCAATTTTGCCGCACCTTTACTTACAAAGCCGCAAGTACATGCAGACAGATTATTTTTTTCTACATGGAAAATGATTGGAACTATATTGTAAGTAACCCACGCACATTACATTTTCGTATATTTTGAGATAAAAAATAAAATGTATATCTATCATATAATAAAAGATTAGCTCGATACTCCACAATTTATTCCTACGTCCAAGAATTATCAATTTGGGCCCACTGTGCGCCGCGTAGACCAAATTCAAACCAGTCTCGCCCGCGTGCCCGGAACGCTCATTTAAGTTAAAACGTAGAAGCGAAATAAATAGAGCGTATTTTGCCATGGCAGTTGGGGCGCGTTCCCACTACGTTTTATTTATTGTTGGACGACTGTCGCGATAGCCTGTTCCCATATCAAGACTATCTGTCGTGGCTGTGTCGTGTTACGTGTACATTTTCGCTCCCTTGTGAAGTGGACGAAGGTGAAATTATAATGATGTATTACTTTTTAAAAAGGCGAGGCCAAACGAAAAAAAGAAAGTTTTGGGTAGATCCAATGTTATTAAAAAGAATTCCATTAGGATTGTGTCAAACGTTTATAGATGAACTGAAATGTGATAAAGTTTTGGGATTTTTTAAGAATTTAATATTTTGTAATAATATGTATAATTAAATTTGAACAAAACTCAATTCACAACAAATATTTAGTCGTTAATAGTTTTTGTCTTCGATTTCGGGAATTAATAGGTTTTAACCCGATTTAACAAAGCGCCGGGTTAAACCCCGGGCCCGTCTCTGACTACGACCCAACGCTAGTGTAAAAGGAGCCATGGTCACGGGTTACGAGAGGGGAGTGTGGGGAGCAGAACACATGCAGACAATGATAAATAAATCGTGACGACAATAGTAACTTCGCCTATCTATTGTCACGTTTTTATCGTGACGTTTTATTTATCGTCGGATGGCTGTTGTTCTAACTGTTCCCATTATCACGGCAGTCTGTCGTCGTAACGATAACAAAATCGTGAATGACAGTTAATTGTGTCGTTCTATATGTAAACTACTTCATTTAAATATACAAGCTACGACACCGTAAACTGCACTACTTTCTGTCGTCACGACATAGTGGGAACGCGCCCTTAGACGCACGCGGTCCAAACCCGACCGCGCGGGGTAAGCGCAATGAAATTCGTGTGGAATAAATACGCCTTTAGTCTTATATTTTCGTTATAAAGGCGATTATTTTGACGATTGGCTCAAAAGGGCAAAGTACCCATAGCCGTAAAAACCTTTAAAAAGAAATTAGAACAAACTATTGTGTTATACAGATGAAAAAGTATAATTTAGCAAATTTGATTTCAAACTATGTACTTTTCAAATGTTCTTAAAATTTGACAAGTTTATTTACATTGCTGTCGTGATATATTTTTCTAAAAACCAACGCGTAGTAGATTGCAAATTAAACTAAACCAAACACGAACTCATTAAAAATATTTTCTCTATTCAATGAAAATCTCTTTAGAAATATTAAAAGAAAATTAATCTTTTGACAAAATTGGCTGTAAATCACTTGACTTACTGTCAAAACTCATGTCACAAACCGCACCACTCAAATCACAATTGCTTCGTATTATATTATTTAAAAATAAAAATACAAATGATACACAACCATTATTGATGGACAACAAAGGAGAGGATTCAAATGGAGAAGATTCAAAGAAGAAAGGGACTAAAGTGAAAACAGAGAAGAAGGAAAAAGAAAAACCTTTACACATTCAAGATGATCCAGGACCCTCGAGAATAAATCTACCTGGGTCTCTGCAAAGCCCAAAAGTTCACAGACCTTGTATATCAAAATCAGAACATAGTATAACAAAAATAATAACACGTCAAGATGTGGCCAATGCTATAAAACTAACATCACTAAGTTTCGGCAACCACATACCTTCAAGCGACAGGAATGTAAATCTAAAAGAAATAAAAATACCAATTTTAGAGAAATGTGATAACGTCAAGAAAATTGATACAGCAACGATCGTGGATTTGAAGAAATTCATGACTAGTTGCTTCAAAATTAATAAGGATGTTAGCATTGCACCTGTGTCTGAAGTCGATATGAATGTTCACTCTGCGTTAAATACAATTATTAGTGATGTACCAAACACTAGTTGTGTTACTAACAATGCTCAGACGAATGATTCTGACATCAATAAGAAACATAATGAAGTTATTATAACTAATCCTATTTTGAGCACAATAGCTGTGCCAGCACCTATTCTTGATCCTATATTGTCAAAAATAGGAGCCGACAAAGAGAGTAAGAAGAAAAATTCAGGGAATAATTCTGAGAAATCGGATTTGGCTCTAACGCAAAGAGATTCGCTATCCAGTATTGGATCAAATGTTTGCAGGATTTGTATGACGAGGGGACGAGAAAGGTTAGTACGACTATATTCTAAACCAGATGCATTTTTTATTCTCAAACATGCTGGGAAATACTTTCGTAAAGAATCCGCAAAGTATGTCATTTATGGATCATGCTACTCTAGGCCGGCAAAACGTGTATGTAAATCCTTGTCTGTCCGCTACTCTAAACTTTTAAATGTATCTACTAACAAAGAACTACGTTGACTAAAGAAAAATCATGCAGCCAACTGTTCATTAGCGTCAGTGTCTGCAAGTGCGAGATTTAAAAATAATATTGTCTATAGCATTGGAGTGCACGAATATACCTACACCACATACTTTAAAACAGGGCGGTTAAATAAACGAAAGTACTTTAAAGTTCTGATTAGTTATTTATATTTTAAATTTTTATTGAATTGATATTCTATATTTTTATGTGAAATTACTCCACTAGTTTGTTATAATTATTAATACAAAGATCGAACACTCAGAAAAAATCCTTCAATCCGGCCGGATTCGAACCGACGTCTTCTAGCATACCGTGCCAGACGCTATACCAACTAAGCACGGAACGAACCAGCGGACCTCACGAATTTTTTTCTATGTGCTTGTTGTCATGTCTTTGTATTTGGTTTTTCAACGACAAGTCGTAGCGCCATCTATGACAAATCTGAATCTGAAAAAATGAAAGTTTTATCACCCAGTTTACCTTTACAGCTACCAGCCCTGGCGAGAGATGTCACTATTCATTGTATTTAAAATTTTTATTGACTTAATATTCAATTATTTTTTGTGAAATTACTCCACTAGTTTGTTATAATTATTAATACAAAGATCGAACACTCAGAAAGAATCCTTCGATTGGCCGGATTCAAACCGACGTCTTCTAGATCGAAGGATTTTTTCTGAGTGTTCAATCTTTGTATTAATAATTATAACAAACTAGTGGAGTAATTTCACAAAAAATAATTGAATATCAATTCAATAAACATTTCTTCTAGTTGGTATAACTAAGCTTAGTTGGTATAGCGTCTGACACGGTATGCTAGAAAACGTCGGTTCGAGTCCGGCCGGATCGAAGGATTTTTTCTGAGTGTTCGACCTTTGTATTAATAATTATAACAAACTAGTTATTTATATGTATTTTTATATTTTGCAAATGGCTATTATTATCCCAATGCACATTGAAAAAAAAACATTAAATGCTATCAACTCTCTCAATACTATTACAAAATACACTCCAGGGCCGGTTTTCAATAGCAAAAGTCGACTGGTGGAACAATCAAAAATTCTATTTAGTTTCTATTATCTTTTGTTTGCTTTTCTAGTGCGTCTAGTGTTGTTACTTCTTTTTAAAATATCGATAGTAGATAAGCAAGGGCAAATTTCACATACTATAATACTTAGGAAATAGACTACTTTTTGTGATCTAAATCGCGTATATTTATTTTTGCAAACAAATCAACGTCTTGGACCCTTCACAGATCCCTTTCCTTTGTAACAATCGCGAAAACCTGAATTCTCGATATTGTTATACCTTCTTCTGTCTCGTACTCATACAGTAAACATCGAATGAATTACATAACAAAGCCAAAGTGAAAATTAAACAATTATTCTTAAGGATATTTCGTGATATATCAATAACATATATTGATTGGTACCAAAATCAAACAAATACAAAGAAAAATCATCCATAGAACAAAGACCTATGTGCAAGGTGCTGCTTATTCTCAGGACATTGTACATTTCGTTTGTTTTCTTCGACTGTTGTTCGATTTTATATTTCCGAAACGAAATAATAAATACATAAAAAAATATGAAACACCTTTTTATAAGCCCTTTGAATAACGAGATTATGTTTTATTCTCTTTTTGCTGTATAACAACACTCTCTGTGATCTCTCAGTGACTCTGTTCTTCGGATGAATTGAAATTCTTTTGATCCGGCTGGATTCGTGCCAGACCGGGGCTACCATTCTCCTAGCTAAGCTACAGAAGAAATCAGCAGATCTTACGAGTTTCTCTATGTGCTTTGTTGCCGTTGTTTGTTTTTTGGGTTTAAAAGGCTTTTTGCCGTAGTGCCATCTGTGAGAAACCTATGAAAGTTTTGTCTTCACTACAGGGTAGTAAAAACTTCATGATATTCAATATAATAAGGATTTATTTTGAAATACTTTCTCATATTTTAAGTGTCACATTGACACAAACATTCATTCATCACGTGGTTCCACATGTTGCTCTCTTTTCAACCCTATTCTCTTCACAATGAAACCAAAGGCGCGTATAACGTTGAAATTACTACAACAACCAGTATGCCGTATTCTGTTTTAACAGAGCCGAATATAATAAATTAGCTCGACTCGGAAATCTCCCCGCTGCCACTACATACTCAGCGTTGAACTAATTTTTAGCAACGGCTATTGTTATATAAAAAATAATATTTCGATTATAAGAAAGCCAATAACGCTTGTATTCGTCGAATTGATTACACACTACTAATCATTTCTAGGACAGAGTCCCTTGACGAAAATATTGTAATGACTATATTATTTTGTGAAAAAACTTTTGCCTTTACTACTAGGTATAATAATTAGTTTAAAAAAATATACACACCTAAACATTCGTCGACAAGTTATAACTTATCTACCCGTCATATCATTACCATATCAGCTAACGTCCGGAACGCGTAAGGCTGCAAACATTACTTTGCGTACATTGCGCAAACGTGTGTCTTGTATTGGACACATTCAACACAAAACATATGTACGCGCAAACCTTGAACGTCCTACTGAACGCACTACCGCTGCGAATTTGTGGCCTAAAAGCAATGCCACATGGGCGTTGCCGGTACGTTGCGCTGTCGCAACGCCATTATTTCAACGCACTGACCGCCACAAGAGCAATGCAATGTTGCAACGTAACAGCACCACTCCCAGCTTCGTCTCCTGATCCCTTGTCTGATGCATACGCGCTCCTCGCCACGCGCCGTTGCAACACATCATGTCGCATATAACTTCTCAATTATATATCTTGATAATAATAACAATTAAAATTATCATTTTAAAATATCATGAGAGATTTTAAAATACCATTTAGTGCTATGGTCTTTTTGAGTTAGTCACAACATGATCTGGATATATTTATAAGTACCATAACACGAATAACGCGTTTTGGACGTTTTTTAAATTAATTTGCGAATTTGTCTATCGATATCGATACACACACTACTCAGTTTCCATCTCTTTTCCGATATATTGCGACTGTGTACCTAACGTCAATCAAATAACTGACGGTTTGTGTTTGGCTGTCCAAAAAGCATTCTTTCTTGCGTCATATTTACAGTACGTGGATAAAGTGACATTGTTTATCAATACAGTCAATTGAACAAACGTACATTTGGTTCATTAAGCAAGATGTATTCAATTATGCTTTGATAAAGTGTATATATTTATACTGCATATCTGCATCTCGCTGCTAAATTATGGAATATTAACACCTATTTCTGCCGCCAAGCAGTAATGTGAGCGTTGCTGCATATCTGTTTTAAAGGGTAAGATTCTGGTGAAATTACACACATAGGACTTGTCAATTTATGTTTCAGAGTAGCGGGAATAGCGGCAGTGCCCCTGTTGGTATTATAAAAAAATATTTACGATTATTAACCATGATTCAAACAGTTCTTAGAATCACTGTTAAAATACGCCATTATAAATTTTGGTTTCATTTTATAAATATACCAATCTCAAGAATATGCAGGCGTTGGAGAGGCAAAAGCCGGATTTACATTAGTCTGACGTGTCGTGTCGTGACGCGTCGGAACAGTATCGGTTTCATATATTTAATATGGTTAGACTTATATTAGCGTGTCGCAATCTGACGTGACAGCTTGTGTTGTGTATGTGAAACCAATACCGTTCTGCCGCGTCACGACACGACACGACACGTCAGACAAATATAAATCCAGCTTTAGCTTTTCCAAATAAAGTAAGGTACAGTTGTTTTGCTAAGAGATTTCACCCGTACCTATCCGCATTTTTGTACAACAACGCTGCCGTCCTTAGATTTTGGGACATAAAACCCTGTTCAGTATTCGAAGCTAAATTATATAATAATATAGGTTTGTCTAATAATTTTGTTGGAAACTTGATTATTACATTTAACTGATTTTATTAACGTATAACGTTACATAAGATGTTATTAATATTTTAATTATATACCTACTTATCACATTTATCCATTTTCTGATCTTTGCAGAAGCTTAAAAAAAATTCATTGTGTAAATCGTACATTTGAGACCCTTGCCTAGTTTAGGTAAATATGAAATTGTAAATATTTTCTGTCAAATTAATTTTATTTTTAACCAAAAATATCAAATTTTTCTACACAGTCTTCTTCTAATTCGGTACATTTAGGATATCGCTTATCTAATTTCCGTATTACTTGAAATTCTATGCTTTGGAAAAGTGGCAGCCATACATAACTGTGTCATCATTCATAAATTTCTGATCGGTGAGCAGGTGTGTAACGTGATGAAACAACACGCCCAATTACATTTTCTACGTTTTTTAGTCACTTCACGCACTTTTGTGATTAATTTTGCATAATGGAGTCCAGTAATCGTTTGTCCTTTCGACATGAAATCAATAAAAATGGTTCTTTCACCATCCCAGAACACAGAGACAATGACTTTGCTGGGGGAAGGAAACAAGTTTCCAGCGTATGGTAGCGTGTGGTGCAGATGATTTGAATGAACCCCGGAAATACACAGCCTACACTAACGTCAGCAATAATTTGTGTAGTCGGGTTTTTCGTTAAATTATGATGTAACGTACTTATTACGATCTTACTTATTAGGAAACGAAATCATACCAATTATATGTAACTCAACTACGGAGATAATATCATCGTTATATACAGTCAAGAGCACGCCAAGCTTGGCACTTTGTTCTTTGAACCGTTCTTATCGTAAGCAGCATAGAGTTGGATTTAAGTCTTAAATGTCAAGCTTGACGTGCTCTTGACCCTTTACGTGCACTATTGACCACTGGTATCCTACAAGAGAGGCTTTTTACAATAGATACCAAATCAATAAATCTCAATCAGTCTCAATGCTGGTAGGAGACTTTAGTAGCAGTAGAGCTAGGTGTGAAAGTTCGTCCAAGAAAATACTGCCACCATTCCTATTTCTGCCACCAGTTTCGGTTTTGAAGGGTGCTGGTGAAATTACACGAATTACTTTCTTTTTTTATGATACGAAGTGACGGGGCGAACAAGTCATACGCCTGGTGGTAAGCGACACGTCTGTCCATAGCAATTACGATGTCACTAAAAACTTAAAATCGCAAAGATCTGAGGAGCATTGCCACTGTGCCCGTTACCCTGAGCACAGGTTGACAAGTCTCATGTGCCTGTAATTTCACGAGCACCCTTACGCTTCAAAACCGGAACGCGTAATGCTTACATTAACGCTTGTCGGCAGAAATAGGTCAGGTTCTTCCCTGAACACCCTTCCATGGGTACCCTTTCACAACCTCTACTGCTACTAACTTACAATCACTTGTTTATGAAACATGTTTAAACATTCACGTAAATAATTGTGAATAACCAATCCAAATAACAAGCACGTCTATTTTCAGACTGATATCGCCGTGCAACTGCAAAGGTTCTTTGGCGAACGTGCATTTGTCGTGCCTTGAAAGATGGCTGAATCAAGTTGGAAGAAATCATTGCGAACTTTGTGGATTTAGGTAAGCGTAATTCGCAATTTCAAGGCGTCGCACAGGGAGACTGTTTGGGGCTATAAATGACAAGCCAGTTTAATGGAAATGTTTTCTGTGAACACTTAGTTTTTAATTTACCCGAACCTTTCAAACACTGTATCCCTATACGTAAAAATAAACACTTTTTATTCTAAATACTAGATTCAAGCCTTGCGGAAGTCCATGGTAATAAAAATGGAAGTAAATTAATTTACTACTCTGCGAACCTCGTCTGAGGAAATTACTTTTTTTAATAAAAAATAAGTGCGCATTTGACCCTCACCTCACCTGATGGAAAGTAACGATGAGGTCGATGTAGCATGCACACGTCAATAATGCCTATTCACTCTCGCCTTGAAAAGGTCCAAGTTATAGGGTTCGGGTAACCGTCCACTGGCAGGGAATTCCACTCTCTAGCCGCTCGCTATATAAATGTAGAACCGAAACACTTCGTGCGAATCCTTGGGATATCCACAACATAGCGGTGGAGTCCCAGCCTACGTCTAGTCTCCCGATGATGGAAAGGGGAAGGCGGAATCAAATTTTGCAATTTCATCGCACTCTCTCCTTGATATATCTTGTAGAATATATATTTATATTTCTTCGGCCAGGAGTCAAACAATCAACAACTCCTGAAAATGCCTCGTAGAGAGACGTAACACGTGTCGGATATATATTTGGTGGTGGTGTTTATGACTCCAATTGCGCTTGTGTTGTGAATTTATTTTATTAATTTTATGCGAAGAAAAGATCTAAAAATTAACTGCATGAAAAAATATTCAACACAACTGTACTATTCCGGTATCGATCGAGCATAGGACCAATTTAGGAAACGAACTTTTCTAAAATTGGTTGTAGTCTTGTCTGAGTAATACTACGGAGTGAATTCATGCATTTAGTTCCCTGATTGAAGACCAGGTAAATGGTGTTATTGGCTGTCATATTATTGTTGGTTACCTATCAGTAGTTCGAAATGACATTTTCCAGAAATAACGTTTGGTCGAAATTTCATAACCTCGTAAGTAATTTTGAAAGAAAAATGTTTTTTTTTTCTTTTAAAACTAACTTAACCTAACCGAACCTAATCGTGTCTTTGCGATAAACATTCAATATATCCTGAAAGAACAACTGTTTCGTTATAATTACCGAATTATTTAAATTATTACTTTAATTTTAATTATTCGGTGTAATGGAAATTCGAACAAATGTTAGTTTCGGACAAAAAAATTTTCGAGTTTGTGATAGGTTACCTTTATTAACTTTGAGTGAAAACTAGTCATGCCAAAACGAGTTATATATACAGTGTTTTTGTAATGAGACAGTAAGGGGAAATTCGAAACCATAGAAGATACAAGGAAGTTGTCATGAGAAGCATTAAGTCTTTTTTCGTGAAAATAATTTTGGTATAGTCAAATTTTTTTGGTCAAGAGTGCAATTGTCCGTAAAAATTAATAAAATGATCAAATTTTGTTTGCTTTTTTTATGAAATGCTGGACAGCTCAGCATCCGCCTCGCAACGGATTGATCTCGGTATGAAATTAGATAAAACGAAAGTCATGATCAATGATCATAATATTATTCCGAGACCAATTGTAGTAGTAAATGGCCATTTCTTGAAGTTGTTTCCGAATACATTTACCTCAGGCAGATTTTACGATTAGGTAAAAAAAACTTCGAGAGTGAAGCCAATAGGAGGATTCAGCTTGGCTGGGCAGCGTTTGGTAAACTACGTCGAGTCTTCTCGTCACCCATACCGCAAAGTTTGAACACAAAGGTTTTCAATCAGAGCGTTCTATCTGTTCTGACATACGGAGCCCAGACGTGGCCACTCACGATACGTTTAGTTCACTAGTTGAAAATCGCTCAGCTAGCTATTGAACGAGCTATGCTCGGAATTTCTTTGAAGGACAAGGTACGGAACGAGGTTATCCGACAGTGAACTAAGGTCGTCGACATAGCTGGTAGAATAAGCAAGTTGCAGTGGGCAGGCCATGTATGTCGAAGAACCGATAACCGATGGGGGATGCGAGTTCTTGAGCGGTGACCACCGCTCGGCAAACGTAGTGTAGTACGCTCCCTGGTCAGCTGGACTAACGATTTGCGAAGGGCTGCTGGCTGCAAATGGATGCGGCGAGTTGAGGACCGGGCGAAATGGCGTGCATTGGGAGAGGCCTATGTCCAGCAGTGGACTACGATAGGTTGTTGATGATTCACGGAAGACAGTCGCCTACAATGGACGGGTGGCTTGTGCGGAGTTCACGCAGAGTGTGTTCTGTACGGTAATAATAATAATAATAATAATAACGCTCACACTCAACATAGCCCCGCACTAGGGAAACCCTGTGTCGCGGGTGCCATGGACACACACATAGACAACCACAAATTACACCCAAACTCACGAGAGAAATAAATGTAGGCCATACAAATATTTCTCCCGGCCCGGGAATCGAACCTGGGACCTCTGCGTGGCAGTCCGGCATGGTAACCGTTCGGCCACGGAGGCAGTTAAACGGTGTAATCCGGGTCATTATAAAATGATGTTCTAACGCCACACGTGTTACTCCGTTCCGGTGCTCAGCGCGGACGGTCCGCAGATAGCCCCGCACTGCTCTGAAACCAGCCTTCCAATAAATGAATACCACAAACGTTTTTAACAAGCAACTTCAATAAATTAAATTTCGCAAAACATTTCTTACTCTTTCTAACGGGCACTGGAATTACACTTACGTGCAATATTAGAAGAGCAATACACTAAACATTATTTTCAGATTTATTTACTTTCTTGCAAACATTCAAATATAGGTTTGGCATTTCAACAGTTTCTATAGATTATCAGTCACTTTGACAATCTGTTGTTTAAATACCAACGTAGGCAAAAGATTGACAGATAATTAGCATAGTAAAACGAAACAAGTATGATAACTCCGTACAAAGTAACAGCACGGCTTCTATTTGTGTGCGACCGCCACGCGCCGTGTACGGACGCACACATTCGCATAGTAATGAAAGGTGTGTTGCCCGACCTAACACAACCTCTTAAAACAATATTACTTTAACCTTACTTCGACTTTTTGTACCATGTCGCGCTTAAAGTAAGCTTATTATAATGTAACTGTCTCCGTGGCCGAACGATTATCATGCTGGACTGCCACGCAGAGGTCCTAGGTTCGATTCCCGGGCCGGCAAAACATATTTGTATGACCTACATTTATTTATCTCGTGCGTTTGGGTGTATTTTGTGGCTGTCTTTATATGTGTTCATGGCACCCGCGACACAGGGTTTCCCTAGTACAGTGTTATGAGTGTGTGCGTTAAAAAAAAATTTAACTATGATGTTTTATTGGCAGCTTTGTGACTATTCATTTAATGAATTCGTACTATGATGCCACTTTGACGTTAAAGTAATATTGTTCTTGTGTCAAATTTAGCAATCTTAGAAAGTTACTTGGACGTAGTAGAAACAATATTATTTTCGAATTTGTTGTCTAAATATTGATTGGCGATAATTAAAAGTTATCATACTCATCTTGTTATCCTATGTGATTAGTAGAAATTATAATAATACAGTTCGTCAGTGTAGAGAAAGACGCGCTCGGGCCAGTGGGTCGATTCAGAACCTGACGATAACTCAGTTATCGACCGATTTGATTTGATATCGTACGGTTCCTTTTCATTTTTATTCACAACACCCGAATCGTACGTCAAACTGTCGTATTCGAAACCGAACCGAAATGACGTCACACCCGTATGATTACCCGAACTTCTCGACTAGCAAAGGCTACAAACATCATTCAGAACACAGTTATCGAATGAAAGTTACCGAACGTCCTATTGTTTACAAAGCAGGAATGGAAATATGGAAATCTCTTATTGTTTTAAATTATGGGTTTCGTTCAATATTATTAATTTATTTTAAAGCAACATTAATGCATTCCTATATTTTAGGACAATATCCAATCGAAAGATTCGGTTAGAATATAGAAGAGTTCTGAATCAGGGTCCAGACCAGAGACTGAGCGAAATTGGCCACATTGGGAGAGTTTTATGTCCAGCAGTAGGCTGCGATAGGCTTTAAATGGCAACACTGAGCCGGAAAGATAAAATACGAATATCGGACTGTCTTTCCCTTTAAAGTTTATCCTGTTAAACGTTGAACCAAAAACCCGTTAAAATATAATTAATTATTATAAGTAATATCCACCCTCAGCTTTGACGAAGGACGGGCTTACAACCAGTCAAGCTGTTATTGGTATACACGATCCTTTTCCCTTTAATTTCGCCCATTACGTTATGTACTATATTTCTTTTTCTTTTTTTAATTGGGAATTAACCATTTGTATTTTTGTTTTGTATTTGTACGAAACATTCACGTAATTTCCCTTTTTTTTCTTTCAACGACCTTGTCCAAAATGTACATGGAGCAAATTTTTAATTTTGTAGTTTCCATATATGTTTTTGTGATATTAGGCGAGGAACGAACCAGTTGTGCGCCTGGTGATAAGCGAGTAAGTTGCAGTGCCGCTCAGAGCTTTATATCGCAAAGATCTGAAGGGCACTGCCACTGCAGCCGTCACCCTGAAACATAAGCGGACAAACACCCTTAAAACGAAGTAACGCTCGCGTTACTACTTGGTGGCAGAAATAGGAAAGGTGGCAGTACTTCTCTGGACGAACTCTTTCGCAAGGAGCTCTACTGCTGCTATTAAAAAAAAAAATAGTATAGTAAAAGTTTTTGTTCCCTTCTTAAAATGTCTCCCGCTATCAAAATAAATTCCTAAATACACCGGTAGTAGAGTTCAGTTTACTAACGGCTGTTTTACATGATACTCAAACGCTTGGTACTCAAAAGCGCTGATGATAAGCCAAACAAAACTCGTGTTTAGTTTAGATACGTTGTGCTGTTAACTGCCTCCGTGACCGAATGGTTACCATACTGGTCTGGGAGAAATGTTTGAATGGTCTACGTTTATTTCTCTCAAGAGTTTGGG